CTCCTATCCCTGACATACCCCTATCATTGTGGGGTGTGAGCATTTCCTTGCTTTCTGCAAATACAAGATACTCCAGCACCCTCTTATATATCTCCTGCTCCAGGCTTAGGATCAGCCATTTCTTTGAGTCCTGATTCTTATTGTAGAATAAAATGAGCAACTGAGATCTGGGCATTAGATGTGCTCATTGCTATTGGATGTTGTTTCTTTCAGGCTTTTCAGTGGACAGAGCAAAGAATGTGGGTATACTAACTCAAATATTCACACATCTACAAATATTTCTCTATATAACTGTCTGTATCCATATTAGGTGGAATATGAATTCACACTGATGTCCCCAACTCTAGTCCATGATTATATGGATCATTCTAGCTTCCTCTTTGCTTACCTGTAAATTCCCCACACACAAAAATAAGAAAGTTGTCTCTCCCTGTCCATCATCCATTTAAATAACTGTTCAGTTCCAGATTACATGCATGGTAATATCAGAATTGTTAACCTGTATCACCAACTTTATAAGCTAGAGCACAGGAGTTATGTGAAGTTCCTTTTGTTATTAGTTTTAAAGATCACTCAGTTCTAAAGTTACTTAGATCAGGACCTTTTCTCCAACCCTTGACTCTCCCGTGACAGTTTGCATTCCTACCTGAAAACCACCAATCTCTTAAATGATTTTTAAAAATTCACATACATTAAAGTTAACTCTTTGTGCTGTGAAGTTCTATAGGTTTCGACAAATGCCTAATATCACGTGTCTAACATTACAGTATCATGCAGAATAGTTTCACTGCCCTAAAAATCCTGTGTTTCACCTAGTCAACCCTATTCCCCTTTTTCTGAGCCTTTGGCAACCAATGATCTTTTTACTGTCTCTATAGTTTTGCTTTTTATAGAAAGCCGTATCATTAGAAGCATACAGTATGTAGTCTTTTCAGACTGGCTTCTTTCATTAAACCACCATTTGATTCAGCAATCCCATTTCTGGGTATCTACCCAAAGTCAAATAAATCATTATATTAAAAAGACACCTGCATTCATATGTTTATGGAATCCACCTGGGTACATCAATGGAGGATTGGACAAAGAAAATGTGGTTATATATCTAAAACTGCCTACATATACCATGGAACACTATTCAGTCATAAAAAAGAATGAAATCATGTCTTTTGCAGCAACATAGATGGACCTAGAGACCATTATCCTAAGTAAAATAACTCAGAAACAGAAAGTCAATTACTGTTGGGAGCCGGCTGTAGAGGTCTGCCTGAGCGTTAGGGATCCAGGCAGGCTGTGGACCCTGAGACTGCTAGGACGAGTTCAGGAGCTGAAAGCCCATTGCCTCTTCCCTTCTTTGCTGTTTTGGCACGTTCCACTAGCAGGGACTTCGACGATCTAAGCATGAAGTTCTGAGAGTACGACAGGCATGGCTTACTTTAGGAGTCCATTGTTCCCGTTTCTCACAGACTGCGGTTTCGGCTTTAAACTTAACATAATTCAAACTCAGGTCACATTTGGGAGCCTTTAATATGGTACAAGCTTCTTTAAAGATTTAATAGTATATTTGTAGAATTAGTATATATATACAAAGTGCTGTTTCAACCTTAATAATACAGATAATAGATGTATCTAGAGCAACTAGAAATGGCCCAGCACAAACTTTGGGCTGGGCCACATTCCTAAGGGCCCAGCGCGTACTTTGGACTAGGCTGCTTTCCTTTTAACTGGGTTTTAGCTAGTTAGTATAGGGTTTTTTGTACTTATTATAGAAATTGAATTTATTTTATAGAAAGTATTGTAGAATAGGTTATGCTACGTTAGCAAATTATGTCAGTTCAAGTATGATCAAACATGATATTTTGAGGTTTAATAAGAATACAGCTAACTTGAGAAATTACATTGTTTCCACTTTCTACATTTGCAGTTTTGGCTTTAATACAATTTACAGTTTATATTTGAGTTTTATTTTTAGCTTTATTGCTGATGATCAGGATTAGGATTTAGAAACTTTTATAAAAGTTCTAATAGATTTATAGGATTTCGGAACAGCCATTTTGTTAAGAGATTGTAATCAATTATTCCCAGAAACGGCCCAGCGTGATCTTTTGACCGGACCACATTCCTTAGGAATTGGTTTGGGCTATAATTAAGAGTTTCTATAGTGTAGGTAGAATTAGCGTGAGATAGAGAGGAATTGGGATTTAGGTTGGATATTAGGTGTTGTGTAAGCATAGGTTTTAAAAGTTATTGATTATTAGAATATTATGATATTAGAATTGTTGTATTGCTTTTAAGAAATATTAACTAAGCATGAGGAACAGTGAGATAGTTTTGGGATCCCCCTTCATCATACTCCAGGAAGCACCTGGCGGTTGGGGACGCCCCTCATCCACCTGGTTCTATGCTCATGTAAATGTCTTATGATTTAATTGAGATTGCCCTTCCTCTTACTCCAGGAAACACCTGGTGGGTAAGGGATGTCCCTCATTAATTGGCTTTGTGTTCATGTAAAGTTTTGTGATTGTTCTTCCTCATGCCTGAGGAAACACCTGGTGGGTAGGGGGCACCCCTCCCACACCAGGCTTTGTGTTCACGTGAAAGACTTGTGAGACTGCCTGTGTAAAATTTGGGGATAAATACCCGCTGTAAGTTTCAATAAACGGCTTCTGCTCAATTCACTGAACAGTTGTCCACTTTCTTTCTTTCTCTTTATATCTATCACCCCCCTTTCTTTCTCTTAATATCTATAGAAACGTCGACACCATCACAACTTCCAAGGGACTACTTAAATCTCTTTTTGGGGGCTGGCCCCCCCAAAATTGCCACATGTTCTCAATTACAAGTGGAGGCTAAACAATGGGTACACAAGGACACAGAGTGGAATAATGGACACTGGAGATTGCAGAAGGTGAAAGGATAGAGGGGGGATTGACAGTTGAAAAATTACCTATTGGCTATAATGTTCAATATTCAGGAGATGGGTACTCTAAAAGCCCAGACTTCACCACTATACAATATATGCATGTAAGAAACCTGTACTTGTACTCCTCAGATGTATAAAAATAAAAAATAAAATGCATTTAAGGTTCATCTATGTGTATTTATGGCTTGATTGCTTTCTCCTTTTTGCTGTCCATACACAATTTGTTTATCCATCACCTACTGAAGTAATATTGGTTTTGGGAAAATATGAATAAAGATGTGTATAAACATCTTTTATGTGGAAGTTTTTTGCAGGCATAAGTTTTAAAATCAGCTGGGTAAATAACTAGGAACAAAGTTGCTGGATCACATGGTTAAACTATGTTTAGCTTTGTAAGAAGCTGCCAAACTGTCTTCCAAAGTGACTCAACCGTTTTTCTTTCACACCTACAATGAATGAGAGTTTCTGTTGTTGACAAAACCTTGTCAGCATTTGGTACTAGCAGATTTTTGGACTTTAGCTGTTCTAATGGGAATGTAGAAGTATCTGATTTTTTTTTACGTTTTTATTTCCTTAATGATGTTGAACATTTTTCCATCTTTTTGACATCCATATACATATTCTTTGGTAGATGTCTTTAGCTCTTTTGCTCATTTCTAACTGGGTTGCTTGATATTTTTAATAGTTAAGTTTGAAGACTTCTTTGTATATTTTGGGTATAAAACTCTCATTAGAAATAAATTTTGCAAATATTTTCTCCCATTTTGTGACTTGTATCTTCATTCTCTTAACAGTGTTGTTTGCGTGACTGAAGTTAACTTTTATTTTATTTTCTGGATTGTGATTTAGGTGTTTGCATCTAAAATCTCATTGCCAAACCCAAGTTCACCTAGATTTTTCTCCTGTGTTTTCTTTTAGGCTGCTTCTTTGTGTCACAAGGACCTAGATCAGCTAAGCAAAGGAGGGTGTCCTGTTATTGACATGATTTTAGAGAGCAAATTTTCTGACAGTCAGTGATTTAAAAAAAAAAACAAGGTTCCTCAGTAAAAGAGTAGCTGTGGAGATTGTATTGACTCTTTTCAGTTGCTGTCTGAACATGGGCGGGAGAGATGTTTCTTGGAACTTTGCAGCTGGTTTTATCTGTGGCTGTATCTTGTCTGTCTCTGTTTTCACTTGCACAACGAATGAACACTGCTTTTTAAATTTTATTTTATTTTCTCAGAGGCAGCTGATAGTTTGTTTTCTCACTACAAACTCACCACACAACGTTGGGTTCTCAGGCTGTATCCACTTGATCATAAATTCAGGAAAACGATGGACGTTGGTCAAATTTTCCCTTTGAAAGTGGGGAAGATAAGGTAGCGCTGATCACGTTCAGCCAGATTCCCCTCCTCTTCCACACCCTCAGGTCTGTTCCTTCTTCAGCGTCCGAGATGTCGCCCAAAGGTTAAGGGAAACAAAAAACCTATTACATTTTTCCTACTTTAAATACAATTCCCCGTGGCCACGGAGACTGACGGGCAGGAGCGCCGGCTTGGGGGAAAGTGATTGGTTTGGACGGCCACCCAGTGTCCTCGCTGGAAGTCAGCTGCGTGTCGCGTG